AGGCTTATGTGGTTTTGGTGATGGTATAGTGTACAATGGCACTGGTCCATCACCATCATTCGATGGTTTCGGCTGGTAGACCAAAACTAATCCATTAAATCGACTGTTTCCGAAACCTCATAATAAACATTCAAAATAATTCCAAAAAAAAAGAATGTTTTTAGCCAAAACGAGGTTGGTACGCCATATCGTCTGTGACACCCGCCCCACATTAAGCCCTGTATTGCAGCAAGGAGGGAGGCGTATGTGGTATGTGGTGATGGTATAGTGTACAATGGCACTGGTCCATCACCATCAGTCGATGGTTTCGGCTGGTAGACCAAAACTAATCCATTAAATCGACTGTTTCTGATACCTCATAATAAACATTCAAAATAATTCCAAAAAAAAGAATGTTTTTAGCCTAAACGAGGTTGGTACGCCAGGGCCTAGGTTGATACACCGGTATTTCGGAGGTTTCGGCCTACTCGTCATGGATTTAATGAATTAGTTTTGGTCTACCAGCCGAAACCATCGACTGATGGTGATGGACCAGTGCCATTGTACACTATGCCATCACCACATGCCACATACGCTTCCCTCCTTGCTACAGTGCAGGGCTTAATGTGGGCGGGGGTCACTGACGAGGAGGCCGAAACCTCCGAAACACCGGTGTATGGCCCTGGCGTACCAACCTCGTTTAAGCTAAAAACATTCTTTTTTTTTGGAATTATTGTAAAGAGGATATTTTGCAGTATCAGAGTCATGCGTTTTATCTGCAGTTTCTTCCGAAGCGGCGAGAACATCTCAATTCAAATAACAAAAATTGCACTACAGAAGTATAGTACGCCCTTGATCGATCGACCGCCTGCGGAACGCCGTATCGAGCTACGTTCAGTACACATACAACGCACATGTGGCCGATAAGTAAGTGCACCGCCTATGTGGAACTCAATCTTATTTTTCCTAATGTACTGCAGAACAGCCTTCCCATAAATTAAGCCTTGCATTAATATTGTCGAATTTTATGCTGTGGAATGGTTACTCACAATTTTACGGAACAGTTTTCTCGTACGAAAAATGTGCGTGTGTGAAACACGACTGTTTTCTTTCTGTGAAAGCGTTACAAAAAGTCCCTTTTGAAAAAGAAACACACAGCGTAATAGCGACAGATTTGAGATTTCGAATAAATGCCAACATTTTGATAAGAACTTTTGGTCCTGCGAAAGGGGTCGTTTCTCCATTACCCCTGAATAACAGAAAAGAGCCTATGTTTTCTTGCACTGTACAACATATAGATAAGATGATAATGATAGCAATGGCAAAATAGAAGGTGCTTCGAATATTTTTATAGAAAAAAAACTTTTCTTACAGTTTAATGATCCCTCTTCACAGCGCTTTTTTCTCACCATGGAGATCCCAGTACGTCTAGCATTTTTCATCTTCTTCTTGAGCGTCCTAGAATGTTGATTGAACGAGTTCCCTTGTAATGTCAAAGACAGCCTGGTTGTGGCATTCCGTAGGGCGTTGTTGTTGGCTGCCGGAAAGAGCTGGGGGGTGGAGCTTGGCTTTTGCACTCTGCCACGGCGCTCCCCGGGGTTATGAATATTTTATGTTATTTCGTTAATTTTGACCAATTTTTCTATGCTTGGCTTATTTGATCAACGCTAAACAGGCACACTTATTACTCTTGAAAAGAATGGAAGTTTGGAAGGCGCTTAGATTTTCGTACAACCATCGTTTGGAGCCACATTATTTCCTCACCTTCGCTTATCTCCTGGGTAGTTGAATCGATATTGAAGCTTTTAACCTATCCCAAAAAATTACAAATTTCTAGCTCCTGGGAATGGCTATTTCCTGAACCATTTTCAAAGATTTTCATTCCGTTTCTCTTCTTGTACACGCCGCGGAGGCCGCTCAAAATATGTTTTACTGCAGTCTGCTTCGCTTTGATACACTTACTTTAAAGACTTTTACCTAACTGCTTCATAGCGCTGGATAGACCAACCATCTGGCCTTTGGTTTTGGCTAGGGTAGTTGATATCGACATTGAATTCAGTCACAATGGCGGATATTGGATGCTTCATGATCAAACAGGATTCTTTTTATTAATCTGATTTTAGCAATGGTGTGATGTTTTAGCTGTAATCATTTGTGCTGGCGGATGGGCAAAACTTTTGCTTCAGGCGGAGATCGACCAGCATTTCACCCGATCCGGAGGCCCGTGATAGAAAGAACTCTGTTTGATCATCGATTACACAATAATTGTCAGCATGAGTGGGTATATGTCAATATTGGCAATACAGGTCAATACCGTTGACGATTATTGCTAACATATAGATAAGTCGAAGCGTAGAAAGAGTGTGGCAAAACGAACGTCGGTAGTGCAACATGTTAGAGCAACGCCCAGAATAGGGTAATGCGGGTTCGTCTTAGCTGACTAAAAAGCTCACTCAGAATAAGTGAGACATCTTGGAAATCGTTCCATTACTAGAAGCGGTTGAGTAGAAAAATCCTTTTAGGCGATAATAATTCTAGAAGGAGAGGCAAGGCACCAGCTGTAGGTACTCTGGCAGCCATGACATCTTTTAGGGAGAGCATAATATTCCTCGTCGCTCCATAAGTTCATACAATATGATACAATATGACTTTAGAAATTTTTGCAAACACAATGATGTATTTAATTCCTTATCGAATATTCAGGACGGAATTTAAGATTTCCTCTCTTATTTGGGTGGTAAGACATAGCCCGCTCACCATCTCAAGTGAGTGTGCGAAAGCGCAGAGTAATCTTTAGCTGATGACGAAGTGTCGAATCGAAAAGGTGGACGCAGTTACATTATTTCGTCCTTCTCACTACATTCCCAGCACATCTTAGCGACTCCCTTATTCATTATCGCTTTTCGCTTTCGCATTATATCGCTTTTCCTTTCGACCGCTCTTTAATGGACCTGCCCAAAACGATATAATCTGCTAAGGATATAACGAGTTTTGAGATTTTAAGGTCCAGTGCTAGACAGGCGCCTGTTTCATCATAACGGATTCCTTTATGAAAGATTATTTAGCCTCAAGGGATCGGCTGGACCGAGGGACGATGTTACTAATGAGTCCCGGCACGACGAAACAGGCGAATGTATAGCACAAGGTCCTAAGGGCTCAAAACATGTCATGCCCTTATCATTTCTTGTCTTATTCGGCCTTGAGGCTACGTCAATGGTCATGTTGAGTGCTCGATACAGACACGCACAGTTGTAGCAGTATGCGCGACATGAAAATCGGAAATGAGTTATTTAAGTAGTACAAATCCTCAATGAAATAGATGATGGGTGTTCTTGAATAGTGATTAATCATTAAATAATTATCGATACCTCTCATGAAGTTCACGGCTTTTTGAGGAGATGCTTGACGACATGTTGTGCGCTACCGACCGACGAATTGACTGAAGACCAAATGAAGCGGAATGAATGAAGCAATTCGCAAGCGGTATATGATAATGGCTAACCGAGGTACTTGATAACAGATCACTTGATAGAACAGCACGAGTCATTATGAAATTTTCAAAAACCTATAAAGTTTGCGTAGCTCGCACTATAAAACAGTGCAGTGGTTTCATACTTATGGTCATATGAATATTGGTTCAATATCTTGCAGAAGTTTGAGAAACGACAACTTTTTATAAGTTTTATAAGCCCAAATGTTAAACGCGAACATTGACTACTCTTTTTCTGTTGACACTTGTGAGTTCAAAGCTTTCACTAAACATGGGTGCGCTCTTAAAATGACTCATCTTGACTCGCAGATAATGGTGAAGGTTAAGCACATAGGTGCACTGATTCTTGTGGGATAATCGCTGCACTGAAATTTATCATATTTTTTACGATATTAGAATCTGTCCTGATTAATGATGGTTCAAAGTAGCTATCGTTATACCACATTTTTCTGCCATTTTCTGTGCATAATTCGTATATTCGCAGACTCTAAACGGATAGAAAAGGCCGAGACGAAAGACTGAAACTTAAGAGCAGAAGACGGGCCTCCAACGGCTACGCTAGACTCCTCCGGCAAATTGAAGCATTGGCAAAATTATCCTTTATACCAGTCCTACAAAATGTCATTGACTATTATGAATATTTTTGAAGACTGCAGATCAAATAAAAATATCGAGAAGTTCTTCTGAAGAGAAATCAATGTTTGAAAGAAAGCGGATGAAACATTCGAGGAAAAGAATCAAATTTTCTGATTTGATATGCCGTTTGTATGATATGGTGAATATTTGTACCTAGTGTAGATGGTTTCTAAGAGCGATAAGCCTCAGCGGCTCCTTGCGTGCACCTCAGATTCATTCCACAATTCCGTTCACTTTCTTTTACCGACAGCTGTTTACATGTCGGATCTTTGGAACTCTCGAAACCTCCTATCAATCGTTTATCCACTGCTTAAAGCAAATGTGTTCAATTCAAAGTTGGTCTCTTGCAGTCGGTGAGTCCTAAGAGTGTCAAAATGTTGGCTATCCTCACTGCGCCCTTCAGTACATTCCGTTTTCTGGGGGCCGTTTCAACCCTCCAGGAAAAGCGTATTTCGAGCTTGTTTTTGGCACTCAAGTAATCTTTTGATAGCTAAATCGAGGGAATTTGAGCGGTCTATTCAGTCTTCAAAAAGACCTTGCTCTTGCGCTGCAATAGCAAAGAAAATATTTGGTCCCGCATTCAAAGATATCTCGCAAACCAAAGTTTTTCCTCTCCAGTTTTTATAATTAATCGGTAGAACGAATCGTAAGAATTTCAACGATATCTTTGGTTTTTGAATTAGACCACGCATTACGTTGTAACAGCCAAAAGAATGTTGGGTTTCGCAGAACTAAATTGCCTTTTTTAATCCACTCCTCAATTTGATGCCTTGGGAAAAACGTACTTTTTGGTCTGTTTCAATGTTCAAGTAGTCTCTCGATAGCTCAGATCATAGTGACATTAGTGATGTACTTTATAAACCCAAGATGATGAAGAGTGGTGTGCAAAAGCGTTTGCGTCAGCCGAGATTTGAACCGAAATCCTACTCTTTCCAGGAGCATGTGCTAAACCATAGCACCACCGATGCTCGTTTCACACTCCACTCTTTCAACGCTGCCACGCGTAATCTGTCAACAGTCAAACGTCTACGGTGTGGCTGGGCAATCATTATCGACATTGAACCCCCTTATGTCACGAGCGTCGGCGGTGTAACGATTTAGCCACATGCTCCCGGGAAGAGTGGGATCTGGGTTTGAATCCCGGCTGACGCAAACGTTTTTACACACCACTCTACATCATCATTGGGTTTATAGTAACATCATATCACCGCAATCGGCGGCTAAATTGAATGATTTTGGGTGTACTTTGTCTAAAAAAAAGCCTTCCTATTATGCTGAAAGAGCAAAAATAAAATTTTGCTTTCCATTTGAAGATTTCTCGCTAACCAAAGTTTTTCCTTTAAAGTCTTAGCAACTAATCGATAGGTGAGATTCCAAGAATTCTAACGATTCAATTGATTTTGAATATCGGACTCTTACCAGATTGTAACAGCCAATAGAAGACTGGGCTTTGCAAAAGTGGAAAAACAGCATCGAGTGCGAAGTCCAGTTCTCCTTTGGTTCCTATGAACACCGAGAAATCTGCCAAAGAAACCAAAGACATTGTTAAAATCTTTGACATTTAATCTATTGCATGGTTTTTGAAACTATATGAAAGATGCTCTGGTCAGCAAGATATCTCTGAATGAGGAACAAATTATTATTCTGCTCTTCCAGCGCAATAACAAGGCCTTCTTGGAAATAAAATACAACATTCAAATTCTTTTGAATCAAGCGATAGGTTGATAACTTAGAAATTCAAGACGATTAAAAAGTACGTTTTTCTTAATGGATTTTAGTGAAGAGAGGATAGTTGAAGCGGTCCATTTTTGCGAAACCCAATCTTCTTTTGGTTGTTACAACGTAATATCAGGTCCATTACAAAAACCAAATAGGTTAGCGGAGTTCTCAAGATTTGGTCTATTGATTGGATTGTAAAATCCCGAAGAAAAAGCTTTGGCCAGCGAGAAATTATTTCATGAGGAGCAAAATTTTATTCCTGCTCTTTCAGCGCAATAGGGAGACTTTTTGAAGATGGAACACATTATACAAATTCTTTTGACCGGAAACGCTGTAAACTGCGTGGGTCTAATTGCACAGGGCGAAGAATGCTAATGAATCGTTCACTTAATATCTAGCAACGCTAAGAAGAAGAAGCAGAAAGTCCAAGGAGATAAAGAATATTTCTTGTTCTGTTTCAAGCGATGCGTGAGAGTAAATGAGAAGTTTCGTTGAGAGCATGAAGAAACGAAGAAAAGCTACCACTCCAGCAAATCCAACCTTTGACACAACGAAAGCTCGAAAATTAGGAAGTGCCATTTTTTTCTCGAATAACGTCTCTCAGCGCCAGACAATTCGGGTTTTTTTTTTTTGTTATCCGGAAACTAGAATGAAGCAACCCCTTCCGATAAACAGGAAATTTTTGGGAGAGTGCTACTAATTATTCGATGCTGAAAGCTCTGGCTACTGTGACATGCCACTCTTCTGAAGAAAACCTTTCTATGACAGCGTAGCAAAAGGAAAGCATTTGTGTTTCACACACGCATACTTCTCGCAAGGCAGAACTGTGCCCTGGGATTATGAATGAATGTTTGGTACGTAAGTTTCATGGATTTTGCTGCTGGCTTGTTTTCTGGAAAGGTGATCCACGTCCGCGTAGTGGGGAGAATGAAATCGCACTTTACATACGCGGCGGCTTGCTCATTGGCCAGGTGTTGGGTACGTAAATGGACGCTGCTCGGTACGACGCTCCGAAATCGAACGATCGAACACATTCGGGCTTTTTATGTAGTGCAGCTTGTTATTTAATCAGGATTTTCCCAGTTTGAAAAAAACTCCAGGTAGTAATTATTACTCCGATATTAATTTTATTTACATGTTCATAAGCTTTTCGTGCTTCCAGTAAAGTAACAGTAAAAGGGCGCTGCTGGAATGAACATAATTTTATCTCAGAGGCTACTTACTAAATTGGGTACTTAGAGGGATCGTCTTTACTCGTAATGCGCGGCACAGCATAGTTTTCATTCGCCTCTCTCTCACACAGCTCTCGCCCATGGTGGTGGTCTGCCTCGATCATGGCGACGTACGCAAGACCCGTTTCGTGAATCCGAACTTGCTGCCATCTGCGGATGCAGATGGCGAACGTTACTCGCAAACACGTCTGCCTATCGTTCGGCGGGTCTATCAACAGTGCGTTTCCATTCCCTTGATGTTCACTCCTCTATTTTATTCTTCCAAGTGTCGTGTATTCTTCCTATCATGGTATCGAACATGCGTATTTATAAATTAATCTGCGTGTTTCTGAATGATGAAGATGGGACAGTTTTCAGTGATCAAAGCTGTGCAAAACGCTTAGACGTTTTGAGTACCTATTGGTTCCTTGATGAGCGCTCTGTGAGGTGGTAAGTAGACTGCTTGAAGTGATTGTAGTGTATGTCCACGTTTTTGCTGCAAAGCAGAGCGCTATGAGAACTGTCGAATAAAATATCACGGAGTTTGAGACCTGCTATCTGGTTGGTGGATTCTTTAGGAAGCCAGAACGCGACCAAGGCGGATTTTTTCTTCTATCTGCTTCCACGTAAATGTTGCTTTCCATGTTTCTAAACGTTCAAGGTAGACACATGAGATGGTCTTTTCAATCAGAGGGCTACTCATTTTGAATTAATAACCTTCAGACCATGATTCTTCATAAACTGTATCTTCGTTTAGTTCATGCAGAGCGCTATCTTTTTACACTTTGCTAAGTTTGTTCATTCTGCTTCACGAGCACTCTTCGAAAAGATGACGATGATGTCAGCTAAGCAAAGGTTTGACAAAAATTTTCCATAAACCAGTATGCCTTTTCTGTCTCAATGGAGCGACATCATCATCCACTGCACTGCAGCCTTGTACAGCTTTGGCGATGGAGTGTCACCTTGCCAATCCCCTCCTTTGACGAGTATGCCGAATAGCCCACTAAACAGTAAACTTTTTGTGCTGCAGTATCGACAGGAGTCTTCTAATGTTTATATAAGACGAACCTGCACCTTGAGCGACGAATACTGGTAGAATTGCAATTGCTTCGGAGCTGCCAAACACTTTCTCATAGCCGACTAAGGTTAGCAGAAAGGGCATACGCTGTTTGAAAGATTCCAATGACGCAATACACAATTTGGACGTGGTCCATTGTAATAGATTCTTTAGGACATTCTGCTAGATCAACCGGCTATGCTTCATCCAAGGTTTTCGACACGCTTTAAAGGTGACCTTTGAGAAGATCGTGTGGAGTACACAAAACAAGCATATTAGGCCGTAGTTACGCAGATCCCTAGTATCACCTATCTTGGGTAGAATGCTTGTGCAATCTTCCACTGGTCTGGCATCTCCTTCTCTGACGATATAATGCCGTATGTCGCACTAGAAGAACATGCAGATGTCGTCACCAGCTGTGAGGAAATAGGCAGCGATATTACAAGTTCTTCAAAGTATGCCTCTCTATATGCTTTTAATCGTAACTCAAAATTTGAATATTATCCCGGGTGTTTCCTCAACAATGGAATTTTGAGATCCGGAACGGGGGTTGCGAAACAAAAAAGATTGGTATAAATGTTTTTTTCGTTACCAATTCCTTATCAGCGCGAATTGTAGTAATGATCCTACCTTCAATCATCGGCGAGGATAGCGGAACATAGTAGTTGCAAAAATTTTGAAGGCATTTGTTCAGACTAGATTGTATATGTGCTGCTTTTAACTGATCTTTCTGCCTACACCGGACCCTCCTCTGAAGATCTTCTGCAGCTGACATTGATTATTAGTCTAGCTAGGTGTGTAACAGAGGCGCCAATCTTCAGTTCTCCTCTGTTTTGGAGCAAGTCGTTAGTAACAGTAGAGACGCAGTTAAAACTTCTGTTTGAAGAGCTGATGCTAAGTTGCACAAATTTTATGCCTCAATAATCACTTTTTATCTTTGGCAAGGTCGTCTTTTATTGCCAACCGCATAAGGGGAAAATTCTAATCAAAACATCCTAGTCGTACACCACTTCCAATGCTTTTCTTGAGCGATGCAGCACTTCTTTTCCAACTTATGACTGAACTTGATGTTTGTAGGCAAGAGGCGGTCATCAGAATTTTTACAGAGTCATCGTACCGATGATATGTTAAAAACGCATGATTCTCAGCCTTTAAGTTCGTGATCGATTGCTGCCATTAGAGAGTTTCCATGTCCATTGGCGGTTTTCGTTCTTCCTAAAAAGTTAATTGCCATGGAAGAGACATGTCGCAAGCAGGAGTTCTACAAGATGGTCTTCGTTCTCGTTTCGTTTTCCCATTCAAAATTGCTCTACACTGTGTTCATTTATGTCGGCCGCTCCTAATTTGGCTTCGAAGTCTCCAAAAATCATTCTGTAGAAACACTTTTAGTTGTCTATGACTTCTCTAACTTATTTCAATTGCGTCGATTCTGCTCTCATCAGCTGTAGAAGCAGGTAAATTACAGTTCATGATACCGAGTTCTTGACGCGAAAATTCGAGGCAAAGGATAGCCTGGTGCGGTGACAAAATTGCGTAGGAAATAATGGGAAATGTTTGGATAAACGGCAAAGCCGACGTCTTCGATATTTCGTGACGATAACTTTGCTCCACGAATTGCGAGAGTTCCGTCAACTAATAGTCTCATGTCGCTATCCTGCGACTGGTTTCTTGTAGGGAGATCACATGGAATCTGATGTGGCCAGCGGTCTCAAAAATACTTAAGGATCGACGCTGAAGAGACTGCTTTGGAGGTATAAATGCAAAGCAAAATGAAATCTTCGTGACGTATCGTGGTAGCCTTTGTTTTGTTCTCTACCAATGACGTAGCGTTCAGTTTGAAATATAATCGCCTCTCATTAGTCGTCTCACCACGAGACGTTGTATACGGTAGCTCCCGGTGGTACCTGATAATATTATAACATGCTGACAGTAATAATAATATAACCTGATGATATGATAACCTAATCGAGCTCGTAATGAG